ATCAAACTCGGCCAAAGCATTGGCCCACCGACCTTGTTTTCCCCTTAGGTCGGGCTGTGACAAGAAGTGTTTCGTTGCCACATTGTCCGTGTAAACCTTGAAGTGTCTCCCAAGGTAGTGCCGCCACTCCTTGAGCGCCTTGACCACCGCAAACAATTCCTTCTCGTGGGCAGGCCACTTCCGTTGAGCCTTGTCCAGCTTCTTCGAGAAGAACGCTACTGAATGGTTATCTTGCTTCAAAACTGCGCCCAACGCAAAGTCCAAAGCATCCGTGTCTACCTCAAAGTCCTTACCAAAATCTGGTAATGCCAACACCGGAGCCTTCCTCAACTTCCCTTTGAGGTGGACGAATGCCGCCTCGCATTCTGCTGTCCATACCATCTTCCCTTTTCCTGTTTGGTCCGTTAAGGGTAGGGCTACTCTCGAATAGTGTCTGATAAACTTTCGATAGTAGTTGCATAGCCCCAAGAACGCCCTCAACTCATGTACATTCGAAGGCCGCTCCCATTCCTGGATCGCTTGGACCTTCTCCGGGTCCACCTTGAGCCCATCCTGGCCCACCACATGCCCGAGAAACTTTACCTCTTGTTGAGCAAAGTCACATTTGCTCTCTTTAGCATACAGTTTGTGTTCCCTTAGTTTCTCAAACACCTTCGCCAAGTGTTCGGCATGCTCCTCTAGCGTCTCGCTATAGATCAGGATATCGTCGATATAGACGACCACGAAGTGATCCAGATAGGGTACAAAGATGTGGTTCATCAACGCCGAAAACGTTGCCGGCGCATTGCACAGCCCAAAGGGCATCACCAGAAACTCAAAGCTCCCATACCTCGTTCGACAGATTGTCTTCTCGACATCTTCCTCAGCTACCCTGATCTGGTAGTATCCTGACCTTAGGTCAATCCTCGAGAAGTATTTTGCCTTTCCCAACCTATCGAACAGGTCCTCAATCCTTGGCAAAGGGTACTTGTTCTTCTTGGTATATTTGTTGAGCAACCGGTAGTCTATGCACATGCGCATAGATCCATCTTTCTTTTTCACAAATAGCACCGGCGCCCCATACGGCGACTTGCTCAACCTAACATACCCTTTGTCCACCAACTCCTCTAGTTGGCTCTTGAGCTCCTTGAGTTCTTTTTCGTTCAATCGATAAGGTGGACGAACCACCGCCTCAGCACCCTCGACCAGCTCAATCTTATGTTCTATCGGTCGTGCGGGGGGCAACCCCGCCGGTAGCTCCTCCGGCATGGTATCCTGGAATTGGTCCAGCACCTACTGGATCACTAAAGGTACTTCTTCCGTTCTTGTCTTTTTGTCACTCTTCACCGAGAGTAAGCACAAAAAGGCTGCCTTAGTTCCTTTAGTGAGTTGTCCTCTCGTGGACACCAGGTTTAAGCATGACTCTTTGGCCTTGCTTTGCCCTACCTTTAGATCCTGGGCCTCCACCCTAGATCTTCTTCCTTGGGCATTCGCCAATACCACAAGGTTCCTACCTTGTCCATGTAGGGCTACCACGAACCGATTAAACCAATCCATTCCGAAGATCACGTCAAATCCCGCCATGTCCAAGACGGTGAAATCCATGTCCACTTTCCATGTCCCCACTTCGACTCTCGCTTGTCGAAGTACCTCATCGGTGCTTTGGCTACCCTGAACAAACTCTATAGTCCTTGGTTCGCCTAGCCGCTGCACCGTTAGTCCGGCTTGCCGGACTATGTCTGCAGCCACAAAATTATCCGAAGCACCCGTGTCAATAAGGATCTTAACAAAGTTACCTCCGAGCTTCCCTCGGAGGGCTAGTAGATGTCGCGAACGACTCTCTACCAAAGTTGCTCGTGTAATGAGTAACTTTGAGTTAGGGACTGGATCACATACCTCAGTTTGGACTTCACCCGACTTGATGGCCATATTGGCTCTGGCCTTCTTCGGGTAGGGACATTCCCTCGAGAAGTGTCCCGCTTCGCCGCAGTTGTAGCATACGTTGTTGCCCACGCTGCTATACGACTTGACCTTCTTATCCGTGGGTTTGTCTCTTTTCGCTTGACTTCCCCACGTACTCGCTCGCTGGCCACCGGATTTGCCTTTCCGGAACCCCGAGGACTCATTCTTAGAGAAACTCTTCTTGAATTTCCCCTTGCTATATGCTCCCCTCGGTTTGGCCCCTTTGTGAAACGTGGATCCCGACCCCGTCGTGTTCCCCTTTCGCAGGTTATCATTGAAATGCACCTTGATGGCCGCATCCAACGCTTCCTTGTAGTTGGTCGGGTTCCAGCGCATCACCTCACTGCGAGCCCAGGTTTGCAAACCTGATATAAAGGCATGGAACGCATCCATATCCCCCATGTCCGTGACAAGTATCCTCTTTGCCATGAACCCATTCACATATTCTTGGATGGTTCCAGTCTGCTTCAGCCTACTCAGCTCATCTCTCAGATGCAGAGTGGCATTCGAAGGAACGTATGTCGCATGGATCCTCGCCTTCATCATGTCCCAGGTGGCCACCGGTCCTTCGTTGGCCTCCGTTGTTCTCCACCAAGACTTGGCATTATTTGCCAAGTATGGTTTTGCATATGGGACCTTCTCCGAGCTCGGTAACCGCAACGCTCGGAAGTAGTCCTCCATATCGTAAAACCAATCCTCCACAACCTTATAGTCGTTCACTCCCTTGAACACCGGTGGGGGCTTTGGTTTGTACTTGGGAATTGCCTAAGGGACTGATTCCACTTCGGTCTGTTCGACCTTGTCTGGTTTTGCCTCAGTCCCTGCCGAAGGGTCCGCACCTTCTGCGCTGCCAGCATCCGCAGTCTTTCGCTTTTCCTTCCGCTTCTCGTCACGCTTTAACTTGCGTACGAGAGTCTCTAGCAGGGCATTGGTCTGTGCCAACTGTCCTTCTAGCACGTCCAATCGAGCCTTGGACGACCGAACCTCGCCACCGGACTCCTGTTTGGAAGTTTCCTCACTGGAGTCCTCCTCATGCAAGGATTCCTCATCCATAGCCTCTTGTTCAACCGGAGGCTCCAGCTCCGGCGGAGGTTCCGTCTCCGCCTGGGTTCGCTTACGCCCTGCCCTTGCCATCTCCCAGCAATCCGCCTCTATCCTTCGCTAGAACTGAGATAAAGGCTCCGATACCAAATTGTAAGCCACAAATTTTTCCTTTCCAATTTGCCAGCTTACCTCAACTATCCGTCCAACACTACCTTGGCTTTTGCTAAGTTCCCTGGCCAAGGTTCTCGCCTATGGTACCAGCTCCTACTTGGTCTCAGCTACTCACTGCACAAGCAACGGAGTGTTAGCCATCCATCCACGGATTCCCAAATCACTCCCAATCCCCCTCCCCGGGTTAGACTGGACTTAAGGTTCGGCTACACTCCCCGCAAGCACAAACAGCCAAGCACACCAAGCTTCCAGGTTTCTAACATCCTTTGGTACCACAAGACTTGATCATGGGACCCTCTAAATCCCAAGTCTTGAGTGCAACACTTGCTTCGGGACGCCGAGGCGAAACACCGTGGCCTAGCGGCCCGGTATGGGTACCTCTCGCCCCCCACTTCCATCCCGAAGGAAGGCCCAAGCCCCTAGGAAGGGCGAGGACCAATGAGCCGCATGGTACTCAAGTGGGGCACCACTCCACATGAGCCGGGAGCACCGCAATCGGTTTCCCTTTCGGGAGTGGGAGCTGCTCTTGAGCACTTCCTTGGATGGCCCCTCCGGCACCAGCCAAGTCCATGCTCACTCCCACCCAAGGCCCCTCGGTCCCAGTCTCAACCTCAAGTCGGTTTGGAAGCCCAACTGGAGAGTCCCTTCAAAACTGGTTCCTAGACCTCACTATCCCTACTATACTTTTGGAACCCCCTGCAGCCCCCCCCCCCCCCCCCTGGGAGACGCACGCTTTGGGCTTTCACCCCTTGACCCGTATTAGTATTTGGACTTAGTCTCTGGCTCGATCTCGGACCCGATTTCGGATCCGACTTCGGATTCGGTTTCGGACTCAATCCCGGACTCGATCTCGGACCCGATCTCGGACCCGACCTCGGACTCGACCTCGGACTTGGTCTCGGACCCGATTTCGGATCTCGGACTCCGTCTCGAACTCGGTCTCGAACTCGGACTCGAACTCGGTCCCTGAGTCGGTCTTGGACTCGATTCCGGACCCAATCTCGAACTCGGTCTTAGAGTCGGTCTTGGACTCGATCTTCGACTTGGTCCCATCCGATGAACTCTTTGTCATTTTGGTCATGCTTTCGGGGTTCCTTTAGCCTACGACACCTCGGCGAGTTGGTTCCTTACAATCTCCCACATAGAATATAGATTATAAACATTCAAATGTTTATAAATAATATGAAATGAATTCTAGCAATTGATTATACTCAAATTTAGTCTTCATCATAGAAAGATAAAATTAAACATCCTTAACTTATAACATCTTTGATCAAATATTATTTGTACATTGTTATACTATCAAGAATCCTAATTTTAATAAAAGTTTAAAAGATATACTAAGAAAAGTTTAGGGTTATTTCTACAAGTTATTTCTACAAGATTAAAGTTTCTAGAAATGTTTTTTAAATCTCTAAAATTAGTTTCACTCTTATAAATTTGTAAAGTAGCCTAATAATAATAAGTAATGAGATGAATATGTAGAAGGACAGTGTTATTTTAAAATGTCTTTAGAGAGGATTATATGTCTGCCATCGTCAATTTCTTATTTGAGATTTTTGCTTTCTTCTTTCAATCCTTCAAGCTAGAAGTAGAAAAAAAGCAAGCTCCCCTTCTTCTTATAGATGGCATTGTTCTAGAATTCCTTCTTGGCCACTAAGCTAAGAATAAGAGGGAGAGGATGATTCACCACATTTTTTTAGAAGTAGGAGCTAAACCAAGTTTCCCTTCAGCTTCCAGGACATTGAACTCGTCGGTAAGCTCCTTGCCAGGCACTGGCCTGCCTGCGCTTGGAAGAGGTCCATGGATCTACACTAGAATTATTGTGTGGAGTTAGCATCTTGGCCTGTTGCGAATCTTGCAAGGTAATGGAAGAATCAATCTATTGTTTTTTATGAAAACCGAGGCTCTTGTGCAAGGGCTTTATCTCACTCTCAGGATCGATCTCGGATTGAAGCTCTGGAGCGATCCACCATGATGCAAAGTGGGATGATACGCTGTTGGGAGCCCCGGCAGCGTATGGCGGTGAGTTTACATTTCTTAGGTTGCATGCATGCATGAGTGATTGAGAGCTCCCGGCAGGGTCATGAAGAAGAGGGAGATGACAGCGTCCCCGATCTGGAACAAGACCCGGATGCTCACATGGAGGAGCTCGACCACGAGGCTGTCCAGTTTGTGGATACCTCGGGTTTTGCTGCACCTGCTGCTGCGAAGAGAACCCGGGGAAAGAACTGGAACCATGCTGAGACCATGGTCCTGATTGATCTCGTTCGGGAAAAACATCTCGCGAAGATTGCGGGGGAGGGAGGAGCAGCCAGCATGTTCTCATGACGAAGACACAGCGCTGTGGCCTCTGGATGAACTGATGGACACCATTTCCAAGCGTCTCGGACACACTCTTACGCCCGGGACGTATCACGTTTCCATACACCGCCATCTCCACCAGGTCCAGCTCTCGCGGTGCCAACACAAACAAGATATCCTGTGTGTATAGTTTCACTGCGAAAGCTCGAGAGAAGGAAGAACACCAACCTGTAAACTTGAGATCGCAAGAGTTAAGAGTACTGCTGGAGTAGATGTTCGTCAGCGTCTTTGTTGCCCTTCAAGCGATTGACACGGGACTGCAAACTCTGGCAGTTGCTCACATCGGTCTCTCCTCCTGTATCCAAAAATTCACGCACACCTTTGCAAAGATCGAGAAGATCGAGAAGGAACCTTTGAAGAAGGGAGCGAATGTGATCAAACTCGTAGTACATACAGCCCTCGCATCCAATGAACCTGTGGCACACCACATTTCCAGCTCCATCCTTGCGCCATCGCGCCGGGAACCACCTCCGCCTTCACTGGCGACGCATCTTCTCGTCAAGAAGCCGTAGCTTCCGCGCGGCATTGTCCAGCAGAGGCGACGAGGACGAGGATACCTCCATCAAAATAAACACTCTCAAGAACCCTAAAATCACCGTCTCTTTCATTTAGGTAGAGAATCTAGTTAGTCTGTGGCGCATTGCGCTGGGGCGATCCCCAGGCGCAGCTTCTCCAGATCGTACTCCACCCACAGGTTTTGCTGCTGGTAGTTCCCGATGATGTTGAAGGGAATGTCGCCACTCATCAGGAACGCCAGGCACAGTGTCGTCTGCTCCTCACTGCTGCTCACGGGTATGAGAATGCTGTTCTTGGGGAGCACCACGTCCAGGCCGCCGCGGAAATGCAGCGTGATCGAGGGAAGGATCGTGGATTCCAGCGCGGCGGTGCCGCTGGTGATGTTGTAGCATGGAGTGAAGCCGGAGTTATCGTCCACTTTGGCCAGGTGAGACGTTCTCGCCAAGAACTCTCTCCTCATCGCTTGGAAGGCAGGCTTCTTAAGGTACGTAAACGCAGTCCCCGAGTCGATGATCGTTCCGCCGCTGCCAGTCACCTTGTCGATGTCGAAGTTTTTGTGTGACAGTGGCAACCGGCTCTCGTCCACGCTGATCCCGACCAGGCCAACGTAGTAGTAGTCCAAGGATGCGCTTGGAACCGCCGGGTTCTGGACGAGCGGCGTGTATCGGAGATACGGGGAGATGATATCCGACTCCCCGAAGAAGACGAGGCCGGAAGAGTTGAGGTGGGCGATCTTGTCCGGGAAGCAGTGAGAAAACTTTCGAGCGTACCGCGAGCTTAGCTGCGACGGGAAGGAGATCGGCCTCCGGTCCATTCCCAGCAGCCCGGACGCTCCCGTCGGTAAGCCTTCTCGATCGATATCCGCGCAACCGAGGGTGATGTTGCTGAGCTTCACAGGTTCGCCATCTCCAAAGTTTGGGGTGTTGCCTGCGATGGTTTCCATGGCCAGCAGGCCCGAGCTCAAGCTTCCATCACCGTACTGGATAGAGAAGAGGCAAGTCCTTCCAGACGGGCTGCAGAATGGCTTGACACCCTGGTAGACGTTGGTGCAAGTGGAGGAGGCGCAGGGAAGCTTGAAGAAGGAGGAAGAGTGGCGGGGATTGAAAGGTGGCCGGAGAGCGGGCACGCAGTCTTTGCAAGGCACGCACTGGATCCAGGAGACGTCGCTGCCCGTGTCCATGATGAGAACAACTTCCACTGCTGGTGTTCCGACTTGGAGTGGCACGTAGTACTCGAGCCCGGCTTGTCCCAGCGTCACAACGGGGCTCGTGAACCCGGTCACAGTGTTTTTTCCATGGTTACGATGGTGGTGATGGTGGTGGTGGTGGCGGTGGTGGTGGTGGTGGTGCTTACTTCGACGATGTTTTGCTACTCGAGCCTGCCGCGCTTGAACGTACTGGATGACATCTTTGAAGGCAGCATCACGGTGCGTGGGAGAAGACTCGGAATCAAGCTCTAGTGCAAGCTTCTCGTCTCTCAGCTTGGATCTGGGTGCATCCCTGTGAACGACACTGAAGCCGATGCTTGTGCTTCCATCGCTGGCCTCGAGCACGGATCGGACGTCCAGAGAATGAGCAGCAGCAGCAGCAGCAACAGTCGATCTGATGAGCACAAACAGCAGCAACAATGGTTTGGAAGGCTGCATTGCTTTCTCTTCTCTGGAGCGAGCAAGCTCCTTTTATGGGCAACGTCCGGCCGATCCATCTGTGGAGTAACGTAAGAGGCCTGTTCTCGAGGGGTGGTGGCAAGAAGCAACTTAAGCTGGAAGCCGTTTTGGTTTATGCTTAACATCCGAGATTGACACAATCACAAGGTGGAAGATTCTACTTCCTTGTACAAGCCTCAAAAATCCAGGACACCAGGAAAAGATGGAAGTTTCATCTATGATATCTCTCATCAGGTACGTGTCAATATGATCTTCCACATTCTAACACTCCAACTGTGCTTTTTTGTAGCTATGTGTGATCGGGCGGAAGCGATTCATCACAAGGAAAAGGTAAGCTTGCTGTTGGTTCTTTGTTACTCTAACTTGTGCTTGCTTTGTTTCCAGAGCTCTTCAATCGATGAGAGAAGGAAGTTGTGATCGTCTGGGCGGTGGTGGTGGCGATGGTAGCAGCAGGAGCGCAGGGCGTGAAGCTACTCTCAGCGAGGAATCCATTCCAGTCAACCAAACGCTGGCGGATCTCGATCATGGCACTTACTGGAACAGCCTCAACCAAACGCTTTCGACTGTGTCGCAGGACTCGACAACACTGCTCCCACTTCCAGGTGTGATCCTGTGCGAGAGAGTGGAGAGAAAAAAGAAAAGAGATCTTCCATAAAAGCTTGGAGGAGATCTTCTTTAAGTTCCAGCGACCAAGTCGAGAAGAAATAAACATCCAATAAAGGCCCCCGTGATAAAGTGGAGGACGATTAACCTCCAACCCACATCGCCAATTGGAAGCATCCAGGTCGTGGACCGCGCCAGGAAATGTGAAACAGAGCCCAGCGATGCTGATTTCTCGGGCTGCCCGTCACCCTCCGCCGCCATGGCCGATGCCCACCGCCACCACCACGAGGAGGAGCGCCAGGAGGAGGACGAGGGTGGCGGCGATGGCGATGAGCAAATCCTCCACTCGTCAAAGGGATGCTGCCGCTTCCTGCGATCTCTCCGGGCGCTGGTGGTGGTCACGCTGGTGCTCCACTTGGGCATCTCCGCGCTGGGCACCGCAATGGCGGTGGTGTCGTCCTCCTCCAGCGGCTGCCCACGATCGCTGCTAGTGGCGGCGGCGCTGGTTGCTAGCGGCGCTTGCGCGCGAGTGGCTTGGGTGGTGGGCACTGGCTTGTGCCAGGCCGCCACCGCGGTTACCATGATCGCCGAGGAGCACGTCCCAGCTTCTCGGAGGAGGACGAGCGGCGCCACCAGCGCGGCGATCAGGATTGGGAGACGGGTAAGAAACAAGCAATGTGGATTCTCATCTCTTTTTTCTTCCTTGTGCTCTTGCTCGAGCACAGATTTGGTATCGAAGGTGGCTATGGTGGGGACGATTTGGTGTTCTTGTCACCTCCTTCCAAACAGGAGGAGCTTGCTACTTGACCATCTTGGCTGTAAGGAACGCTCGTTCATCCTTTTGCTTCCCTGGTAAGGATCAAGCACTGTGTTCTTTGGATCTTCTTTGTTCTAGCTCTATAGGATCTTCTCCTTTGTTTTCTCTCTCGTGTCACAGGCCCTGACGCGGCGGCATTGTTGCGAGACACGCTTGTCATCCTTCCCATCGCTACATGGCTGCTCGTCTTGGCACAGTGTTGCGTTGGCTCGGACGTGCTCTCTTGGAGGTCGCTCTACGAGATGCAACACGAGGCATGGCGCGCTCACTACCGCGAGATTTTCGATCGCGGCATTCGAGAGCTGCTTTGCTGCCTTGGGCGATCGAGATATCTGTGAGTCGCGAAAGAAAAATCGCTTTTTTCTTGTGTGCTCATTTAGTACTTGTGAATGGATCTCCAGGACAACCATGGATGAAGACGAGGTTGATACGGTGGCAGCACTTTTAGGCGATCTTGTTGCATACCGTGCTGCCGGTGCAAGCCATCTCGAGTTTCTCGCTGGTAAAGATTCATGGATAGAACTTGCAAGCAAGCTTTTTTTTATCTTTCTTTGTTTCTACAGGTGTTGCTCTTCTGAGAACTCGCAAGTCCAAGCCTCCAGTTCCGAAAGATCTCCCTCCGGCTCCCGGTCCGCTGGTCACAGAAGCTGCTCTTCTCCATCCATATGCCGTGGCTGCGTACACGGTTTGCGATTGTCAAAACAATGCTGTCAGCTTCAAAGAGTTCTCTTGCTGATCTTCCCAGGGGCCATTGCTGGACATTGGACGCACACCGCTACTCTTTCCCTGTGCTTGGATGTACCGGCAAGGACTCCTCAGCTTATGGAACCGCAGAAGGTAGCTCGAGTTTTTCTTTCATCTCGGAGAAACAGCTAACTAAGCTTTGGCTTGCAGGAGCCCGAGTGTCGACGGTGATAATTGGTGGCGAGGCCATGCGACTGCGTTCCTTCGTGCTGCTCGCCTCCCAGCCGAGGCGCTCTTGAAAGGAAGGATTCACCAGGTTTTGATGTTTGTAGCGTCACAAGTTTCCCGCGAGCTGACTTGGTCACTCACTATTTCAGAGAAACCGAGAGACAGTCTACTTCGTGATTGAGTTGAAGGAACTCAAGTTGGTTGTTGTCGCTGTTCGTGGGACTGAAACACCGGAGGATCTTCTCACAGATGGCCTGGGACGTGAATGCATCCTTGCCGACGCTGATTTTCAAGGATTGTTCCTGTAAGTAGTGCTCTCGCTCTCATTCCCTACAAGTTTGATACTCTACGCAGGTCTGGTCATTTGTCTGACACAGCAAAGCGTGAAATCTCGTCGTCAAATCCTCACTATGGCCATGCCGGTGTGGTGGCGGCGGCCAGAGAGCTTGCCTTCGAGCTGGACAGCCCTGAAGATAATCCCGAGCTTTCAGGTTTCGAAAGAAAACTCTTTGCTCATGTTTAAGTTTGTGTTTTCATTTCTTTAGCAGGTAGCGCTGGATCATCGAAAAAAACTGGTTTTTTGACTTCCATACTCGGTCCCGGTGGGAAGTGTGAAGGCTTTTCTTTGAGATTTACCGGACACTCACTGGGTGGATCGATTGCTGCTATGGCGGGAATGATGGTACGTATGTATGAGTTTTCCTCTCTTGTATTTCAATCTCTCTCTTTCTCGAGCAGCTATGGCACCGCTTTCCAAACTTACACACTTACGGATATGGCGTTCTTCCCTGTGTCGACGCTGTCATCGCAGAAGCGTGCTCACCATTTGTAACAAGGTAGGCCGAAAGTTTCTTTCATCCTGCCCTGACCGTCCACCACCTTTTAGTGTTGTGTATAACGACGAGTTTGCATCGAGGATGTCCGTGGCTTCGCTGATGAGGCTCCGCGCGGCCTCGCTCCGAGCTCTAGCAGCGGACTCGGACACCTCCGAGTCGGCAGTGATAGCGAGAGTGGCCAGAAGGCTCTTCGGCTCATGGAGGCGAGGCAAAGCTTCCAATGCAGGGGCCACTGGCAAAACTTCCAATGGAGGAGCCACTAACGAAGACTCCAATCCAAGTCCCGGTGGAGCAACGCAGTACAAGCGTGGCAAATGCGGCCACAAGCTCAAAGGTGGAGCCTTTCTTTGCTACCATGCTTGTCACTGTGTCATGGGCATGCCCAAGGGCGCTCATGGCAGCTCGACCGTGGTAATGGGAAGGCCGGTTGGTTCCACGGCCAATGGTAGTGTTAATGGTAACGGTGGTAAGCTGGAGGCGACCAAGGTGGTGTCCGGGGAGGTTACGGTTGAGGAGAACGGTTCTGACGGGATGGTTGCTTCCCTGGATGCAGGATCTCGAGATAAAAACTCCAAGACCCGAGATGCCCGAGATGTCCGAGGTGACGAACTCGGCTCTAGTGGCGAGTTTCTCCGAGGTGTAGTGAGCGGTGAGCTGCTTAGCAATGGGATCCCGGGCCAAGGCGAGAATGGTCTTGTAGGATTCAAGCCGGGGTCGGACTTGCAAGAGATATGGCCGGTGGAGCTCGTGATGCCAGGCTTGGTCATTCATCTGGTGCGTGTTCCAGACGAGGCACCGGGCTCGTCTTGGTTTGCGCGGAGGAGGAAGAAACAGCACCAAGCAATCCTGAGAGACCGAGATGATTTCCGGGACCTCGTGGTGTCTCCCTCGATGTTCCTGGATCATATGCCATGGAGGTAACGTCGCCAACCTTGGTTTGTTTCTTTCGTTCTTTGTTGTTGAGTTTCTGTGCTTTGCAGGTGCCAGCGCGGGTTGGACGACGTTCTCAAGCAAGTTTGCACTCGACCACTTCACGCGGACGCGGAATCACAAGGCATCCAAGTCGATGGTTTCTGAAGAAAACTTTCAGTTGAAAAGAGTGGAAATGACAAGCTCTTGCATGAATTTGACTCGCAAGTTTGCTTCCTTCAGTTTGTCGCACTGCTCCTCGGGGGACAAAGCTGCAACCTCCAGCCTTTGTTTGGAGAGGAAGATTAGAACCAAGACAACCACGAGGCAACGCCATACCCTTTGTGTGAACATTGGCTTGCGTGCGAGCTATCAGAGAGCGTGGTGAGGAACGGATCCACTGTGTTACTGGGCGGTGGAGGCCTAACAACGCTTGCAGATGGATCGCTCTAAGCTCCTTGGTGAGCAAAGCCAAAGTTGCGTTTGATGCTAGTGCTCCTGATCTTCGAAAACGCCGCCGTCTCTGGATGTGGATGTGTAGTCAAGGAGAATTATCTGATTTTGTTCGTGTTTCAAAACGTTTGAAAGGATATCTTGAAAAGCTGACTGTGGTCTAGCATTATGTGGCCGGCCATGTCTTTCCAAACTTTGGTTCCACAGATCGGACAGACCTGCAGCTAGATGAACTTAGCACATCACTTGCAATAAACAAGAGAAAGAAAAGAAAATTCGAAGGAAACACAGGACAGCAGCACAGACCAACCGAAAGGCACTTACTGCAACCTTAGACTCATAGCAGTGCTCGTCTTCTAAGTGCGAACAAAGGACAGCAACGTCGTAATCTTCGTAGCAATAGGGACACGAGTACTCGGTACGAGACTCGTCCTCGTCTGGATTATCTGGAGATGAAGAGAAAGAAATGAGAAACCATTCCAGAGACTTAGATAGCCCCCGTACCTGATTGCTGGCGCTTAGGAGTTGACGAGGAAGAAGAGAGGAGGACGAAGTGGAGGGAGCGACCGGCGCTGCAGACTTATGGTTCCGGTGATTGCCATCTCCATCGCCATCCATGTCGCAAGTCTTGCCAGTGGTGGTAGCGTTGGTGGCACGACCAAGCACCCGCCAGCGGCCCCCCTTGGGGACCGGCCGCGGCCCCGGTACTATAACGGCCCCAGGTGCTAAGAGGGGTCCGACAAAGCCTCCGCCACCACCACCACCTCCGCTTCCTCCGCCCCTCCCCCGTCCCCTGGCTAGCACCTCCTCGACCGTCACTTGCGCTAACCTTGGCTGCTACTACGCTAGAACAATGCATGGAAAAAGGATGTAGTTCCGCCACTTCCCTGGGCCTGCTTTGCTTTCTCTCGCTTTTCCTGTGCCTTGCGCCTGGGCTTTGTGTGCTCGGTGAAGGAAGACGACGCACCAGGACGCCACGTGGCCGCCTAGTCGGGCCAGTTGAAAGAGCTGCGTAGTAACTCCTTGGGCACACGTCCGAATCCCTGGCTGATGCGTAGCATCGCCTCAAACTCGTCGCGGTCCTTCTTCAGGCCGGAAAGTTGCTGGAGCGCCCTCTCCATGAAGGCGTCGTAGCTCTCCAGCGATTGCTTGGACGAGTTGGACGGTGGCGGCAGCAGCGACTTGTCGAATTCCAGTTGCTGGTACTGCTTCAGGATGCGGTCCATCTGTTTCGTCAGCTTCTCCCTGGCGGTCGCGTACTCTTGCTCTTGAGCGCGCTTGAGGCCTTCCAGCGCGCGATCAATCTCTAACTGGTACTGCGGGATCAAGGAGTTCGCCGGGGGGACGACCTCACCAGGCTGTGGAGTGAGGACGAGAGCTTTGGAGAGTGCACAAACGGCACCATCTTCGTCCAAGGGTGGAGGAGCCGGAGGAGCCGAGGAAGTATCAACCTCCATAGCTTCTTCTGCCGGAACAGCCAAATCCATCTTGTCTGCACGCTCGGGCTCTGGATCTCGACCCGAGTTGCTAGCCTCGCCTGGAGCTCCAGAATCTACAAGGGGGAAAACCAAGCGGGTTGAGTTACATCCTCGTCGAGAAGGATGAGTCGAGTCCTCTTACCGACGTGATTCGAGTTTCCATTGCATGGATCGTTACACATCCGCGTCGAAACGGCTTGTATGTCGTCACCATTCCCGGCCTAGCGGTAGAAACACACCCATCTCATCAAACGAGGAAGAAAAACTTAGCTAGCTCGCTTAGCTAACAAATCTAAACACGTTTGTGTTCAACATCTTTGGCAGGTACCTGATTGTCAACTGATGGCTGTTGCTTTCGTTTCCTCCAAGAATATGTTGATAACTGTAGTTTTATGTTAACAGAAGAGCTGGTGGACATAAAACGGTGAACAAAATACCTGAACAGGCGGGCCAACAGTTCTCCGGAGTTGATCTGCTGTTATATGTTCAAAATAACGGTTGTGGACATAAAACGATAAATATAAAACGTGAACAGGTGGCTGATTGTCATCGATGGTCCCTGCTGGGCTGGCCTCAGGAGGCTCCTCATCTTCCTCGGTCTGCAGTTACATGTTAAAAATAAATCTTGTGAACATAAAACGGTAAACAACAAACCTGAACTGGCAGCTGATGGTCATCAGTTCCTTGCTCAACAATTGCTGCCCCTTCAGCTTTGGTCTGTTAAATGTTAAAAGTAAGACAAGTGCATATAAAACTGTAAACGGAAAACCTCAACAGGCGGCTGGCCTGCTTCATCTTCCTCAGTCTGCAGTTACATGTTAAAATTAAACACAGAAAGGTAAATAGAGAACCTGAATGTGCCTACAGTTGAGAAGCTCCTGGGCCTGACGGCGGTCGGCTGACATTGGATTCTCGAACTCAGCAGCGGCCAGGAGCTGACCAGGAGTCATCAAAGGGGGTGCAGGGGAGTGTGAGACATAAAATCCTTAGGCCCCAAAAGGGGAGCCGGAAGGGTGCCATGTGGTAGTGGCCGAAGCGAAAGCCAAATGAGCATAACACGTTTGGACTAAAAGTTTTGACTTGAAAGGTCGAGAGTGGGAGTGGAACTCCCAATAAAGGGCTCGAGAAACAAGCATGAAGCGAGCAATGAGTAAGTCCCTAGAAAAGGGACACAAGAGGACCAAAACATAACATGTGGAAGTGTCCGAAATAGACCCGAGATGGAGTCCGAGATGAACCCGAGATGAACCTGAGATGGAGTCCGAGATGGACCTGAGATGGAATCCAAGATGGACCCGAGATGGAGTCCGAGATGGACCCAAGATAAAGTCCAAGATGGACCCAAGATGGACCCGAGATGGAGTCTGAGATGGAGTTCGAGATGGACCCGAGATGGAGTCTGAGATGCAGTCCGAGATGGAGTCCGAGATGAACCCAAGATGGAGTCTGAGATGGAACCGGGACCGAGACCGAGACCGAGACCGAGTCCGAATTCGAGACCGTGACCGAGACCGAGCTCAAATCCAAGTTCGAGTTCGAGTCCGAGTTTGAATACTAATGGAAGCAGTTAGGTGAAAGCCCAAAGCAATCGTCCCCAAGGGGGAGGGGGGGGGAGGGGGTGTGAGACACAAAATCCCTAGGCCCCAAAGTGGAGCCGGAAGGGCGCCACATGGTAGTGGCCGAAGCGAGAGCCAAACGAGCGTAACACGTTTGGACCAAAAGCTCCGACTTGAAAAGTCAAGAGCGGGAGTGGAACTCCCAACGAAGTGCTCGAGGAACGAGCACGAAGCGAGCAAAAGGCGAGGCTCTAAAAAAGGGACCCAAAAGGACAAACACATGACACGTGGGAGTGTCCGAGATGGACTCGAGTTGGAGTCCGAAGTGGAGTCCGAGATGGACCCGAGTTGGAGTCCGAAGTGGAGTCCGAGATGGACCCGAGTTGGAGTCCGAAGTGGAGTCCGAGATGGACCCGAGATGGAGTCCGAGATGGAGTCCGAGATGGAGTCCGAGATGGAGTCCAAGGTGGACCCGAGATAGACCCGAAATGGAGTCCGAGATGGAGTCCGAGATGGACCCGAGATGGAACCCGAGATGGAGTCCGAGATGGACCCGAGATGGACCCGAGATGGAGTCCGAGGTGGACCCGAGATGGACCCGAAATGGAGTCCGAGATGGAGTCCGAGATGGACCCGAGATGGACCCGAGATGGACCCGAGATGGAGTCCGAGATGGAGTCCGAGATGGAGTCCGAGATGGAGTCCGAAGTCGAGACCGAGACCGGGACCGAGACTGAGACCGAGACCGAGATCGGGACCGAGACCGAGACCGAGGCCGAGGCCGAGACCGAGCCCGAGCCCGAGTCCGAGTCCGAATCCGAGTCCGAGTCCGAGTCCGAGTCCGAGTCCGAGTCCGGAGCCTGAGAGGGTGAAAGCCCAAAGCATTCGTCTCCCAGACCCTGGGGGGTTTGGTGAGCTCCAAAAGTATAGTAGGGGGAGGACTGCAGTGGAGCCAGTTTGGCCAGGAAAGGCCAGTTTGGCCCAGGAAGGCCGGACCCAGTGTTGGGTGATGAGCTGCCCACTGGGAAGTCCAAGACTAGAGTGAACACAGACCGACAAGCGGGGTAGCTTGGTGAAGTGTTCAAGAGCCGGCTCTAGTTCCCCCGGGAGATCGACTGGCCGATGCTCCCAGTCCAAGTGTGGGTGGCACTACCTACTTGGATACCTGTCGTGGCTCAATGGAACCTCGCTCTAAGCCCATGGCTAGAGCACCTAAAGGCGGAAGGCGAGGAGAGTACCCAGGTGGCTTGCGTAAGGCCACGGTGTTTCGAAATGTTGTCCCAAAGGCCCAGACTGTGGAAAGGAAGAGGAGCAGTCCTCTGGGGTAGTGACCAAGGACACAGTCGTGTGGTGAGGAAGTCCCAGAGGACCGTGGGACTTAGTGGTCGGGCCTGTGGGTCTCGATCCAGTGGCAGTGTTGGCAAACACGGCCAGGGGCAGAAAGGGACTTAGTGGGAACTGACAGAGGGATATTGGGGAAGGCTATTCCCCTTGTCGGTGGGCATCCTAAGGATGCTAAGGAGTGGATCTGAGATGACCACTCACGGATGGTTTGCCTAGTCTTGGAGAGCCAAGACAGTGATGCAAATGGTATTGGACTACCAGTGTGGCAAAGGTGATTGGGCATGGCCTTAGCGTAACGGGCTGCTATGTCGGTGGTACCTTTGAGTGTCGGTCATGGGATCGGACACGTGGTGCACTTGGACCCAGTGCAAATGTTAAGTGGCATGGATGCCATTCTCGGGGCTAGCAAGTCCCAAGTCCTGGATTGGACTTATGGAGGTTGTGAATGAGACTCCTCCAAGTGGTCAGAGGTGTGGTTAAGTGACTAAAGTAAGAATGGAAAATTTAGTCTCTTACATTTTGGTATCGGAGCTGTTCCTTAGTCCGACTTTTATTGGTGCTCAAGTATATCACCACTAGTGTTGGCATCGGAAGGTCCGAGGAGTGGGCCTATCCTTGAGGAGTAGCAAGTCGGGAAGACATGGCTCTCCATTACAGTTCATGGGTGAACTTGTAGACGAGGTGGTGGATAGAAAAGGGCCAATAATGGAACGACTTTGGGATCTTGGGAACAGTGCAAGGTTTTCCTCATTGAGTTGAGGAGGTGATCCAGATGAGCGTTTGACTCAGCAAACGGGCTAATGTAGTTGGGGTAAACAACTATAGTTGGGATCACGGGGAAGATAGAGACTCCAAAAACAATAAAGGAGTCACAAGTTTATCCTCACATGGTTGAGGCTGGTGCTCATGAAGGTGAGACCGGAATGGATGACCGTGAGAGGTCAAGTATGGATGAGGACACGAGTCCTCGAAATGGTAGCCGAGGCTA